TCATGCATCGTAAATGCAGCACCAGCATTTCTAACCTCCTCTCTGCTTACTGACCAGCTGCCCACACAATCCTTCCAGGTGAGACAGCATTTTATTTGTACTTCCTTCAATTTAGAATACAACTTTTACTGTCCATGATGTGGTGTCCTTTACATATGGATGAATATATGACCTATCGCAGAATACCTCCGTTCAGTCAGTAATTGTGCCTCAAAGCATCTAGTAGAGTATAATATAGTTATTCTCTCCACTCAGCTCAGATCTGTGTCCTTAACTTCCGTTACTAGTTCAATATAAATTCAAGGAATGGCAGCTCATCCTTCAATCAAGCACTTTACAGCCTTTAGAACTCAACATCAAGTTCAACAATTTCGAAACACAATCTTTCTTCACATTTTTTGAATGCTAACTGTTAGTGAAAGCTCTGTGGTTTCCTTTTATACTTTCTCTAGATCTATCTTTTGATTCTTTACTTGTCCCATTGACTTTTGCTTCTTTACTGGTCCCATTGTCATCTTCTGTGTGTACCATCATCCCTTCCATCGATTAATTTTGCCTGCCTTTTATGCTGCCTCGTTCCTTTCCTTTATTCTTTCTCTCACCTTTCCCAACTTCTGCACTTTCTTACAACTGGTTATTTATGTAACTTTTACCAGTTCTGATGAAAGATTATTATCTGTAAAACCTGATCACAAATGTTGCATGAGCTACTCAGTACTTCTAGCACCTTCAGTTTTTAGTCCTCAGACTTGGCTCAGTAGTTGTGAGCTGAAGTCACACTTCAGAGCCCTGAACACATAATCTAAGCTAGTACTCTACTGTAGTTCTGAGGGAGTATGGCATCATTGGAAGTGCTGGGTTTCAACTGAATGAGATCTTAAATCCACCATTTCAAAATCAATACTTGAGACGATGAAGTACTAATTTATTTATTGCATAAAATCTTACAGCATAGATTCAGCCAGTTGTACTTAAGCAAGATCTTTGAGAAAACAGCCATGATTAGTTTCACACTCCATTTTTGACCCCTTTTTCTCAAGTTCACGTCTGACCACCAAGTTACGGTTAAAACCAGCTTCCACCATTCTTCGAGAAGAACGGTTTGTATTTGGACAACTTAAAAAATTCTCATCTATCTGTCAGATCTTTTGCGAATGATTTTAACTCTGTGACTACTTGCTTCAGTCACCAGAGATGGAGAAAACTTTTTCTATCTATGCTATCGACAACTATCAACTGAAAATCTCTGAGGACGCCTCTTAACCTGTTCCAAGGGGAAAACACCTAAAATTCCAAGAATGGTGGAAGCTGGTTTTAACCATAACTTGGTGGTCAGACGTGAACTTGAGAAAAAAGGGCCAAAAATGGAGTGTGAAACTAATCATGGCTGTTTTCTCAAAGATCTTGCTTAAGTACAACTGGCTGAATCTATGCTGTAAGATTTTATGCAATAAATAAATTAGTACTTCATCGTCTCAAGTATTGATTTCTCATAGCATAAAAATATTTCTCTATTAAGGCCTTTAAATTTTCCCCTAAGTGTCCAAAATTGCCCACATACTTCACTTGAAGCTAAACAGGTGATTTATAAAGTTCTAACATTACCTTTTTTTAAATTCATTCGTGAGATGTGGGCGTCACTGGATGCATTTATTGCCCATCTCAAGTTGCCATTGAGTTTTAGTGGTGAACTGCCTTCCTGTCTCGCTGTAGCCCACGTACTGTAGATAGGTTCACAATGCCATAACTGAGGGAATTCCACGATTTTGACCAAACTACTAAAGGAAATGGCATTATTTTTCCAAGTAAGGATGATGAATGGCTTGGAGGAGAATTTGCTGGTATGTTCAATGGTGCTTTGATAAGTCCAAGTAACCCACGTATTTTTCAAATACCTGAAATACTTGATTTGTCTTTTCAGATACCAAGTTGTCTCTATTTTTCTCATTTAGGCTGCACCATTTATAGTACATTAGTCCATATTAGTTCTCACATTTCTCTACATTGAGCTTGATTTGCTATTTTTATTTGCAAATATGATACTATTTTTCCATTCTGTTTATGTCATCCTGAATAGGCAACCCGTCACAATTCACTGTTGCCCATGTTATTATCTGAAAATTTTACAATGCTCCTTCCTACATCCAGGTCCATAGTTTGTTCATAAAATTTATAATGTGCAACACAAGCAACAGAAGCAAAACTGGCTTCTTGGGGAACACCACACAGATCATCTCAGTGTATAAACATCTACCAATCAACATTGTTTCCTGTCACTGAAACAAAACCATATTCATATCACCATTTTCCCCTTAATTATTTGATTTCCCTTTCTTAAAACGTTTCTTTTGCAGTACATTGTTTAATGTCTTCAGGGAGTACACATATAGAGATACTACACTAACCTCAAACAACATTTTCTGTCAACTCAAATAATTCAATCAAATTAGACAAACACAATTTGCCTTTTAACAAATCCACATTTCCTCGCTTTGACCAAATCTTTTCAAATAATTGTGTTTTTTTTCTGATAATGGCTTCCAATAACTACCCTGTAGTTTCCCCTTTTATGCCCCTCCTCTTTCTTGAAGAGTGGTATAACATTACCAATTCTCCAGTTCTCTGGCACCAATCCTGTATTCGATGAACATTGAAACATTGGGACTAATTCCTCTGCTAATTCTACTTTTGTTTCTATGGCAAATATGATGTGTTCCATTTAGACTTAGGGACCAATTTGGAGTGGATCAATTTTCAGTGTGTCTTCTCTGCTTGTTGGTGCAATAGTGGAAAGTGAATGCTTGATGTGAAAAGAATTGGTGGCCACATTTTCTACTTTAGAATATTACCACATTGTCCTACACTTTCAAAGTACTTAACTGGTTTTAAACTGTTTCTGCACTTCTTGAGGTCATTAAAGACAGTATAATAATTTTTTTTTCTCTCTCTCATCTACTTTGCTTTACTCATGTTCAGGCAATGAACCTCAACCAATTCAATCAGATCCCTGATTAAATAAGTCATAATAAAGCATCAATATACGATTTCTGTATCACAGGATACTAACAGAATTCATCTCTCCAGCATTCAGCAGTTTGTCACTCTATCAGCAGTGTATAGTCTCAGCTATTCTTCACAGATTCTCAGTTGCTCACATTCAAAGTTCAGAAGATTTGAACATTTTGACCATACCAGTTAACATCTAGTTCATAAATTAACAGCTGTGATAAACATAACACCCCAAGAAACAGTTTCTAACCTCTCAGAACTAGACTGGGCTTTTAAGATTATAATGAATTGTGTACCTTTCGATAATTCACATTGGATAAAGAGACGGGTACTTAAGATCATGCCCACTTTTCCCATACTGAATAAATGTGCTCAATATCTCCCATTACATAAGTCATTCCATTAAAAAATATTATGTTTGTTAAAAAAAACACAATAATGAACCAAAACAGAAGTTGTTGGGAAAGCTCAGCAAGTCTGGCAGCATCTGTGAAGAGAAGATCAGAGTTAACGTTTTGGTTCAGAACTGAGGAAGGGTCACCGGACCAGAAACGTTAACTTTGATTTTCTCTTCACAAATGCTGCCAGCCCTACTGAGCTTTCCCAGCAACTTCTGTTTTGGTTCATTATTGTGTTTTTTATAAACAAACTTGTTTTTTTTTTAATGGAATGACTTATGCAATGGGAGATCTTGAGCACATTTACTCAGTGTGGAAAAGTGGGCATGATACTAAGTACCCGTCTCTTCATCAATGTGAATTATCGAAAGGTACTCAAAATTCATTATAATCTTAAAAACCTAGTCTTGTTCTGAGGAACAGTCACCGGACCCGAAACGTTAACTTTGATTTTCTCTTCACAGGTGCTGTCAGACCTGCTGAGCTTATCCAGCAACTTCTGTTTTGGTTCTTGATTTATAGCATCTGCAGTTCTTTTAGTTTTTATAATAATGAACCAATTATTTTCTGTAGCTTTAAATATCTCATGACTTGGAACGCTATCGAGCGAATGTTAACTCCAAGCTCAGAAATAGTTAACGCAAACTGTTACAGGGTGGGCAACCCCTATGTAATGATAGAGGATAATTATTCACTTCTTAACAAATGAAAGCCTAGATCATATTTTCCTATACCTTTATTTAATGCCCCCATTGATAAAATGAAAATGACCCGAAACGTGAGTAACTACCCTATTCATAAAACTAGTGCTTCTTAAATCCACAAGTTTCTGTTATGTATAACTTTTTAAATTAAAATATTCATGCACTGTTTGCAGATAGTTATAACTCAGTAGCAACTCCAATTTTTGATTAGGAACACAATTCTTCTGAATGATAGATTCTTACATTTGTGTGACCAATTGTCACAGAAGGAAAATGCTAACAGGCTTCTTAAAACACTAAAAATGCAAATTGCTTTTCACCAACTTCCACCTGCAATCTATTTCAGCCAGATAAACCCAATATAACTCTAAATTTATGACATTCCTTCTCAACCAACAATGAATACATAATACAAAAGTGTAACCAAATCAACATGAACACCTGAACAATCAATATTCAATGCACTGAATCAGTTATTTGGCTGCAACAAGATGGTAAATGACACATTGAATTTTAAATATCATTTGGTATTTAACACTAAAATTGACTTAGGCCGCAGGTTAATGTAAATATAATTCATTTTGCAACAGCAGTGTACATTTGACATATCAAATGGGAAAAAACAGTAAAGCAAAGCTAATGTTAATTATACTGAACTTTGTTAGTTTTTAAATATATCAAGTATTTTAAGAACTTTAAACTGTTTTCCACTGGTCATTTGTAAACAGGATTTGCAAAATACTACAGAAGTTTGAAAAACAATATTAGTATACTCCAATGAACTAGCCTTTTGGAATGCTGCTTTTTTCCATTCAGTTGCTTCTGGAGGCAAACACATTGGTGGATCAGACATGGAGAAGAAATACCGCAGTACCAACTTAAGAGCTTCTCTCAATACTTACTTATTTTGCATCATGTTCATTATAACCCAATCAACAAGATAGACATTCTTTCCAATGAGATCTTTGAACATAATGAACGTCTCCATCAAAAAATCCTGAAACAGAGTTCAAATTGAAATTGTTTTTACAAAATCATTCCTTTGAGATTCTTGCATTACAAACTAAATGTCCAAATTATAAGTTACTTAATAACAGCTTGAACAATGTATTTAATTTTAAGGCTCTTTCTATCTTTTGAGTCAAAAACTTCTATCATCTTGAACATCCTAAGAGGTCATCTCTTAACCTTGCCTGTTCCAAAGGAGCAAGCCCCAACTTTCCAATGTCTCCTTATTTCTAAAGTCGTTCATTCATTGGTGGTCCCTCACAGACGAGGATAGCTCTCTCTTCCACTTTCAGGGTGAGTCCAGAGATAGCTGTACAGACCGATGCGGCTATTGCAGACTCTGTTACACTTGGGACAGAAGGTTGTCATGGGAAGGGGTGGGGAGGGGCATTGTTGTGGCAGTGTGCTGTTTTCGTCTGGTTTCAGCTTTTTTGTAAAGCATTATAAAGAACCTCATTTCTGGGACCATCCTGATAAATCTTCCCTATACCCTGTGAAAGGCCTTTACATTTTACCTGAAGTACAGTACCCTGAATTTTCCGTTCTACTCCACCTGAAGCCAAACCACTGATTGATAAAATTCTAGTATGATCTTCTTAGCAGCAAATCCAAATGACTCCAAGTCGAAATAACCCACAGTTTTTTAAACCTTGTTATGTCCCCTGCAACCTTTCAAGATTTATCTTTACAGACATGAAAGGATCTGTTCTCTGTTCACCGAGAACACACTATTTCATGTACAGTCTTTCCATAGTAGTTCTCACATTGTTCTCCAATGGACTTCATTTGCCATGTTTCTGCCCATTTCACCATCCTGTTCATGTCATCCCAAATCCTCATCACAATTCACCATGTTGTCAAGTTAATATCATTTGCAAACTTTAGACTGATGTTTCCTACACCCGAATCTGATGGTGCATTTCATACAGATATCAGATTTTTGGTTCAGTTAGATGAACCATGGAGTCTTTCCCGTACATAGGTTTTCTTGTTCGAGTCTAGCATGCATAATATGAAATGATTCACTTTTCTGTCACAACTGGTGTTAGCCATAGCATAGAAGGCTGTGTGCTCAGATCCACTCCAGGAGCTTAAGCACAAAATCTAGGTTGACACTTCAGATGTAGTACTGAGAAAACGGTACAGCAACAGAGGCACTGTCTTTCAGATGAGACATTAATTCAAGACCCTGCCTGCCCTTTCAGATGGACATGACCAATAATAATCTCTGAAATAACATAACTACAACAAATCATAGACTTATCATCACATTGTGGTTTGTGGACCCTACTTTATAAAAAACAGTTGCTCCTTTTCCTAATATAGTAATAGTAACTGCACATCAGAAATTCTTCCTTGGCTGAAAAGTTCTCCAGGTCTTTTTCAGTCATGACAGGCACTCTATAATGGAGGAAAGTTATTAGTTTTCTCTTTAGCTGTTTGCACCTAAAGTTCAAGTTATCCAGCAATAAGTTTTGAATACTTTTGTCCTGTACCTCATTCCATAAGGTTTGCCTACCATGAGTCCTGCAGAAAGCCCAGAAATTCCAGTTCAAAACAAAGACTAATTATAATTTACACATTGCTTTAAATTCCTAACGTGCGCCAGTGGGAATTGACCAATATAGACATGCAATTTTCCAGGTTCAATTTCAGGTTAAAAATCAGTATCTTGAAAAGAGAAAATAAACTTGAAATTGGGATAAATATAGTATACATTCGATTATCGTATGGGGCATTGAAAACTCTGCTACAGTACTGTGTTAATTTTTTTAACATTACAAGGGTTACTTTGTAATACAATAGTTCCTGGAGATTGCAAAATTTAACACTTCACTTTTTCAAATTGTTTTTTAAATAATTTTTTCATAAATAATTGTGTTTTCCAATATCCAGAGTAAGGATTTGAAGGTAATTTTTCATTCTTCACCAGAAAATTCTTGAATGAATGATTAAAACTTATTTTGTGCTTTCAGTAAAGTTCTTCTTGGCTTTCAAAAGGCCAGAGCTTGGATTTCATATCTTTGTCCAGAATTGTGACTGTGAGCTGAATTCAGATTGCCCAGTCTGAGCATTTTTAACACATCTAATCTCTCAAGCATTCTTTAACACGTAGTACTTTCCATCCTGCAGATTTGCTTCAAATAATATTGTAAAAGGTAAACTTCACACCATTATTGAGGAAAATGTCTACTCAGTATGCTTTTATTTTAGAGAGACAGATATATAAGTAAAAGAAAGCAACCTTTTGATGATGCAGCTAGTGTTGATGATGCTTTCTCTGCTATAAACATTGAAACATATGGCAGAAAGATAGGGAAACGAAGAAGGGAGAAAAGAAATATGCTTTTGTATGGGATCTTCTAATTTGTCATCACTGAATTTTAGTATGGAACAAACAATATGAAAGAACGGCTGAAGAATTAGATTAGATTTTATTGTCACGGTACCCAAGTGAGACAGTACAGGAGTGTAGTGAAAAAAAAGTGTACAGTCTCGCCACTATTTGGCACCGTCTAGAATACAATAGTTAGATTTAAAAACGAGCTACAATTAAATAAGCAGAAACAAAAGGAAAAGAAAATGTCCAGATCACCCTCGCCACTGCCAGGAGCCTTGATCAGGGCTTGCTAATGCCACAGTACTGCTACCATTGCAACCGCCACTTCGCCACTGCTGATGCCAGATGAGGTGAGTGATGGCAGAGCAAATAAGCACAGAAGGTATGGGAATGCATGATAGGATTAAGGATAATAATAGAAAAGGCAACAACTAGCAAGAAAGGTCAAGAAGCAGCAAATTGGGTAGAGAAGCACGAGTGACTGAATAATAAAATGCAAAGATCATAGTGAACTGTTAACTTATAAGATCTAATAATATTCTACAAAGCTTTGAAGAATAATCAAAGAGCATCCAAAGCATACTTCAGAATTTCGACTAAAAAGATTGGAAAGAATTTTTGAAATACAGAATTAAGTATATTTACAATTCAAAACATATTACTTGCACATGCTTCAAGTGCTATTGTGCATCTGTTCAATTGTTCATACAACTCAGTTCTGAAAACCAACTCCATAAAATTATGCAAAATTAGTTGTTCCACTTACCACGACATCTGATCTCATTATCCCAAAGACCTTGATTAAATGGGCATAATGATAATCTTCCATCTGCCTCAGAATGGCTGTCATGCAAGCAACAAAGTTACCCTGAAGTGCAAAATAATTAGTGTTAATCCTTATGGATCACAAACCTTTATATTCATGCATCTTACAATAGCACTGATGATATTTTCCTCTGGAAATACCTCTTTCAATCTGTTCTTAAATGTCTTAAAATGAAACTATGGGTCAATTTAAAAGGCGTGATCTGGATTAAGAGAAAAGGATTTAATTTTACAGTTGCCAAATTTGGAGTGCAACTCCAAAGAATCCAACCTGTATCCTCAGAAAAGCAAGCAGTCAAAAACTCTTGCCATTGATAGTTTCAAATTGCTTTGATTTGATGCGAAGTGTGATGTCAAATTTTGTTATCAGGCATTGAGGTGGTCTGTTGGATCCTCTCAAAACTTCAAGTTAATTTTCAATTAACTGCTACAGCATTAGCAAGCATTGTGGATTGGATGCAAGTTCAGAAACAGATTCTCATATAGTGCTTCTTTGTGAAGAAGTCTTCCAGACATTGAGTTGTTAGTACAGCCTTCAATACCAACTCCTTTTAGCAGTTGCGAAGAGTGTGAAAGCCGCATTATTGGATTGATTTTGTTTGTTTGAGTCATCAGCATGATGGTAGACAGGGGGAAAATGCCAGTGTTGGGTTGAACAGGCACAGCCAGAGAAAACAGGGAGGCTTTGGTACTTCTGTGAACTATGGAAAATGTAACACATTGAGGAAGCTCTCTATATTCCAGCACCTAAGCCACATTACTTACCTTTTAGCACAACCACCATTCAGGAGCATTAACAATAATGGGTAAAGCTACATTCAATGGCTTTGAACATTTGTAAGAATTTACCCAATTTACGCTTGATTAAAAAAAACTCTCAATTTTCACACCATCCATTACTAGGATTGTTTACTTTTCAATCTAAGCAGCATGTCATGGGAAATATATTTTTGATACTCCATGGCTCCTGAGGCCTATCCAATATAGAAACATCCTTGTGTGTTTCATAAACAGCCAAAGGAGAAACAGCAGAAATCTGACTTTAGCACTAGACTGCTTCTACAGTGATAATTAGGAAGAGGAAACTCCCAACATGATTATTTTCTAAACATTTTTGATATTTTACCTAGTACTATTACATGTTAAAACACATTTTATAAAAATGGTCAGTCTTTTCAAGATGGGAAAAAAATCAGACATTTTGAAAAATAATTCTTAACAAATTAACTCAGTTAAGGAATGCCTTAATCTTGCAATTATTTTATATTTAAAAGTCCTAACCACAACACGCGGCATAGTTTTGACTCCGCCACTCAGGACATGCCGCATCCACAATCATTCACTCCCTCCACCATTGCTGCTCAGTGGTATCAGTCTGTACCATCTATATGATGCACTGCAGAAATTCACCAAGGCTTCTTAGACAGCACCTTCCAAACCCATGACCATTACCATTTGGAAGTACAACTGCAGCTGCAATGAGGGAACACTATCTGTAAGTTCCCCTCCAATCTGTCTCTCAACTTCGGCAAAACTAAAGAACTGATCATCGACTTCAGAAATATATGATGGTTCCTTCAGTGTCGCTCTGTCAAAGTCCTGGAACTCCCTAACAGCATTGTGGGTCTACCTACTCCAAATGGACTGCAGCAGTTCAACAAGGTAGATCACCATCACCTTCGGAAGATACCTATGGATGGGCAATAAATGCAAGCATAGTCAGCAGCACCCACATTCCATGAATAAAAAATAAATAAAGGGTTAAAGAAGGCATATAGCATGTTTGCCTTTATCAGTCAGGCAGAGAGTATAAAAGCTGGCAAGTGATGTTGCAGCTGTATAAGACTTTAGTTAGGCCACATTTGGAGCATTCTGGGCAGTTCTGGTCCCGACACTATAGGAAGGATGTGGAGGCTTTGGAGAGAATGCAAAAGAGGTTTACCAGGATGTTTCACAGATTGGAGTACATTAGCTATATAGAGAGGTTGGACAAACCTGGATTGTTCTTGCTAGAGCATCAAAGGCTGAAGTTCAACGTGATATGAATATTTAAAATTATGACAGGTATGGATAGGTTGGAGTGTTTTTCCCAGGGTGAAAATATCAAATACTAAGGGCATAGGTTTAAGGTGAGTGGAGAAAAGTTTAAGGAGATGTGCAAGGAAAGCTGTTTTTTAAACAAATAGCGTGGAACATGCCATCTGGGGAGTTGTAGAAGCAGATACATTAGCAAAATTTAAGAGGCATTTAGATAGACACATGAACAGGCAGGGAAGAGAGAGATACAGACCATGTGCAGGCAGATAGGATTAGTTTAGAATAGTATTGTGATTAGCATAACCATGAGGTGCCTAAGGACATATTCCGGGGCTGTACTGTTCTATGTTAGAGCACCATGCTTTCAGCTATTGGACCCGATTTTCAAACCTTCAGTTTACCTATTTGGTATTAGTAATGTTACACATGATAATAGACAATTGAAGTTTTCGACAAACAGAAATAGAAGGCAAAAATAACAAAAGGAGAAAAAAGTTAAGCAAAAATAAGCAGCAGCAAAATGGGAAGAAACAAACATGAGTGAATAGAATGACAGGGTTGGGGGGGGTGAATTCATGGCTGAAGAGGAAAAGGAAAACAGAGCTTAGAGGAAGTAAAACAAGAGGCAAACATCAATCAAATGTAATTTTACAAATACAACCAAACATTAGAACCAAGTGTCAGCTTGTTTCCAGACTCTCAAATCAGCACAGGATAAAATCTTAGCTAGTCACATAAGAATTCCTGGATTCTTGAACAGCCCCACATATTTGAGCTTCAGGTTTAATTATTCATGTGCCAGAAAAATTGCAAAATTCACACACTCAGTTACTGAGAAGGAGAACTTACTTTTCAAATGTCGTGATCAGTTAACAAATGAGAGTGTGAAATTAATTGTTTAAATTATCCCAACATCCTTTTATATTCTAGTTGAAATAACATGAATGAAGTGATTAACCCTCTGGCTGACATTATTGTTTTCTGCATATAGTCAGTTTCTGGGTCCAATACTTAATTATTTTTGTAGAAATATCAGAAAATGCACAATTTTAACATGAGAAAAGGCAGGTTTGATTGGGTGACATGTTAAATGCTGAATTCCAAACTTGCCAACATCTAGATGCAATGGTATTGGGATAGGTGCAGGGAACTAATCTGCTCACAGGACAAGGATCGGCAATTTGAATATTAAATTGAGTTTACAGCCTCGTATTTAAACATCTTTTCAACTAAAACCAGAACTGGCTGAATGTTAAAAACTTCTGAAAACTTAAAAGCTATAATGCAAAGACTACTGAAACTTATGTTTACATCCAGAATAAATGCTACAGTAACCCCCTACAAGCGCCACCCATCACTTCTCCATTCCTTCTGCTCTCCTCCACAATGCTCTCTGAATAACCCTTCAAGGCTCCACAATGAAGCCTTCAAGTCTTCCATTCTATCTGCCTTTCAGTTCTGGTCTTCCTCATTCTTAGCTATCTGATGTTGCTTGACTCCATACTCCATGCTTCAGCTTTTAGCAAAATTATCCCTAGTTCCGGATATCAGTCTTTCCCCACCTCTCTGATGCTTCTCAGCTCCCCTGCCACAGCTGTATATGCTGAAGGCCAGTCTTGACAGACTCTGGATGGCTGTGGTCAGGAACCTAGAGACCGGGAAAAATAATTTGCTTGCCTCCAAATTAATATCCAACCCAAGGTAGCAAGTTTTAAAAATGTGAGAAAGGCACCACAACACAGACACTATCATTTCATAAAACAAAGATAGCAAAATCAACAACACAAAGACCAATTTACCAAAGTCAGTCTCTTCAGTTACTAAACAGCACTGACAGTAAAGGAGATCCACCATTTAAATAGCTGACCTTAATATTTCAATTGAATGAGACATCTAAAGATCAGATACTGCTACAAAAATGTATTAAAAAATAAAATATATTTTATGTTAATGTGTTCAAGGGCTTATTGCAGTATGGTTAAATATATTTAACTATATTATGTCACCACTCCAAAGAAAATGCTTTAATGTGAATTTCCAGTCACGTCTGATTGCCACACTCATCCATCAATTGTGCTCTGAAGGCAGCTATTCATATAAAAATATGTATGAAAGGAGCATAAAATCATTCTGTATGCTGACTCCCTGGATACACGAAAACCCATTTTCTACTAACAGGACTTTTACTCTCTCAGAATGGATAAAGTATTCAAATATTCCCAATCACTCATAAGACCTCAGTTTTAAAATGAATCTAACATTTTTGTTCAGCAAAATAATTTAAAATTACATCAGATGTTTTAGATACCGGCATAAATTTCCCATAAAAATGAAAACTGCCAGCTGCAATTAGATTTAACAACTTGATTTGTATCTGATTTGCGTTGTGAAGTTTAACAAACAATTTACTATCTCAACTGTAATTAGTAATTGAGCTGTTGATCTGCTGGTGAAAATCAAAGTACTTATTGGTTTTTGTTGATATGCCTGTGAAAATAGTTGAATGAGACATTGCAAGTTATAGTCTCCAATATTCTAATGCAAAACAAAGCTCACAATGCTCACAAAAGAATTAAGATTCAACCACTATATTTTCAAAACCAATTTTTCATATGGCAAGACAGCAAGCAACAAAAAATGACAACACAAAACATTAACACATAACATTCATCTTCTATACAATTCACGTTCGTTCCATTAGACATCAGCAAATAACTTGGGTTCAAGTTTTAATTGGGGGTGTTCCCGAGGGTAGTGAACTCTAATCTTTCATGCTGACGATACAGTACCAAAAGCTGTACTAACAAAAATAATAAAATTTATAATATCCAGCAGATGTTTTCTATTGCAAAGCAAGAGACAAGATTTAACAATATATGATAGCTGTGTGAAACAGTTCAGGATTGTAATTCATTTTAGAGGAAATGCAGTTTCAAATTTAACCTTCGAATTAAGTGCAGGATAAGATGCAATTCTATATATATTATATTCTTAATGTAGACAAAG